ACATTTAAATATTGACGTAATAAAGATAACATTCAAATATTGGCGTTGAAAACATTACATTTGCATAGAAGACACATAACACTAAATGATTGTTATATACATATATTATTATTTAATTACCAGGATTACCAGGCGGATCTGAGGATTAAATATTCTCTACAGGCTTGAAATCGCCATCTAACCAGTTCTGGTACTTAGCCTCAAACCTTTTCCTAGTTCTGTTTTTCTCCTTCCATTTACTTCTAAGATTGTTCATAAAATCCTTTTTAATCTCATCCAATATATTCAAACTCTTCAAAATAATGTCAGCTTTGAAATCTACTATACTGTTAATCTTCTTTTCCCACTTGGCCTGTAAAAGTTTATTATACAAATCTCGCCGCTTCCTCGTGTTGAAACTGTCATTTAATTTTTTCAATTTTAATTATTAAAAGTGGGTTTTGTAGTTTCGACCACAAACCGTTACAGCGCGCTATAACAACGCTGCAACGACTTGTGGTAAATTAAAATTAATTGTTCAACGTGTTGTTAGTGGGTATTGACTATTTATTTAATTACTAGAAATGATGACTTGAATAAAAAATTTTAAGCAAATTACCTTTTTACTTTTGTAAAGTAATTTTTTTTTAATTTTCAAAATTTGGTCAAAACCGGAGGGGGGGGGGGGGTAGACAGAAAATCTTTTTATAAAGTGTTAGTTAAAGTACTAAAGTATGCATTTAAATTAATTTCATCTTAACGTATTATTATGTGTAGTAAATCTATTACCACAAAGTTTTTTTTACATGAAAACTTATGTCCTAAACCTGCTAAAAAAAGAAAAATTCTATTTTTTTAAATAGTTATAAAATTATAGGTAAATATGTATAAATATTTTCAAATTCCGTAAGAATAGATTACTCTAAATGTTACAGATGTATTGTCAGTATTTATATGTTTTTCACACATATTTTAACAACTTTTTGACTCTGAAGCATCCTAAAGGGTCTACAAAGTTGATCAAGTGCATTATAAAATAAACATTTATTGCCATTAACATATGTATGTTGCTTGCAAATGATTAAAAAAGTCAATATACGACCTTTCGTTTTGCTAACCTCTGGCCCACTATGCGAAATTTGGAAAACAACTGCCTTTAATATAAAACTGTGAGACAAGGTGGAGGAGCCTTCTGCTAATGTTTAAACAATTTTACAAAGTGAAAATATTTATAAAAAAATTATAACAATATTATCCGAGATTTTTTTTTTTTTTAAATTAATTATTGTTATTTTTTATTATTATTATTTTTTTTCTTCTCATTTATTATTATTACATTTATTATCGTGAAAAAAAGAAAATATATATACAAAACTATTACGTATCAGATTGATAAAAATACATTAATATAATATTTATACATAAATATAGTATTGATGCAAATTTTAATATAAATTTTGGAATAATAGCTATATATTTATTTTTTCTATACTTTAATACCTGAAAAAAAGGAAATCAAAGAAGATTCAGCATTTTTGGGTAGTTAATAGTGCCATTTAACGTATATCTACACTGTTAAAAATATATTGCGTTTTTTACGGAAATTTCCGGCAGCAGATTTAAACGGATATTTCCGTTAACAAGTGATTGATTTTTCTGTAAAATAACGGAAAATTTCTGTCCGTAGTTTAAGACATTCAATTCTTAAAACAAGAAACATATTGCTTGTTTTAAGAGAGAAATTTCCCATTCAGCAATTTATTTCTTAAAACAAGAAGTATATTTCTTGTTTTAAGAAACAAATTGAGGGAAGGAAATTTATTTCTTAAAACAAGATAAATATTTCTTGTTTTAAGAACTAAATGTCTTAAACTATGGACAAAGATTTAGGATTTTGCTGTGGAGAAATGATACTTGTAATATTTTTCATTAATTAAAGATTTATTGTTCAAGATTTATTAGTTAAATCTTATGGTTAACTTGGCATTAATTAGAAACTTTATTTCAAATATCTTTTTTCTTCTTAAATTTATTTTTTCACATTACTTTGTCAGAACTTCAATGACAAAAAAATATTTTTTTCTAAAAAGAAAAAATATATTTTTATCTCTTTTTCTTTTCGTATGAATGTATCTACATATAGAGTATGCAGTGACTCTTACATCAGTTCAACTTGCTCATTTCCGTGTCACATGATACAGCCGAAAATATTTATTCTCGAAAATATCACCGAAATATTTCACAACCGAACATTTTAGAACCGAAAAGTATACTTTCATTGCAGGATCGAATTACAAAATCCTTTCTTGCGCCGAATATATATATATATATATATATATATATATATATATATATATATATATATATATATATATATATATACAATGTGTGATAACAGTGTAAACAAGGTTTCCGAAAGAAGATCATTAAGATCATATCATCGGAACGTGAAAAACGTTCCGATGATATGATCTTAATGATCTTAATGATCGAATACTTTGTAAAGTATACGTTACAATAAAGTAGAATATATATATATATATATATATATATATATATATATATATATAGAATTTTTTACATAAGCAAAACTTTAAACAGTATAAGCAACATATATATATATATATATATATATATATATATATATATATATATATATATATATATATATATATATATATATATATATATATATATATATATATATATATGTAGAAACAATAGAAATAGTTGTAAACAACAAAACTTTAGAGAAAAATAATAAAATAAAGTTATATAATAGATAAATTAATTAGTAGTACTCTAAAATGATATCGAGGGAAAAAATTAGATTTTTAATTTTGTTTTTAAAAAGAATTTAGTCAACATTTGGTAAAACAATTTTATTGCACAGGTGCGGTGCGCGATAGGCAAAACAAAACTAATTTAAATTGGTTTGACAAGAAGGTTCGTTAAAAATTTTTTTTCAAAGAGTGTATTTGTTGCTGGGGTTTAAACTGAAAAGATTTTTAAAGACTGGCGGGGATAGATGGTTTTTCCGCATATAAACAAAAGATAAAATTTTCATAACGTTGAGTTTAAATATATATTTCAAATTTTAATTTCAATAAAATAAGATTTACAATGAGAAAAATAATCAGCAAGGTTAATTATGCGAATTGCTAGTTTCTGGCAGCGATAAAGACGATGTAATTTACTTTTTTCAGTACTTCCCCTGGCAATATTAGCGTAGTTTATGTAGCAGTGAATAAATGAGAAATAAAGTTGCCTTAAGTTTTTCTTGTTAAGATAAGTTCGAGCTTTGTATAAAACTCCAATGTTTATAGAGACTTTAGTGCATACATAGTTAATATGTTGATTCCTATTAATGTTCTCATCGAGATAAACACCTAAGAATTTAATAATTACTGCATAGTATTTCAGTTTTTTGAGTAGGAAGCGATGGTCAACCGTATCGAAGGCTGTCGATAAAAATACTTAATGTATATTTGATTGTTCAAAAGAATTTGAAATTTCATCTTAGATAATTGCATGCTCTGTTGAGCTATCCTTTTTAAAACCAAATTAATTAACATAGAGTAGGTTATTTTTGTCAAGGTGTTTATATATTCTGTTGCACATAATTTTTATGAAAATTATGTGCAACAGAATACATAAACCGGATTTTTGAGAATACAGAGAGTACAGAGATTGGCGATAATTAGTTATTCGGGATTGGCTCTCTTTATAAATAGATATAAGTCTGACAATTTTTTAATTGTTCTGAAAAATTTCCTTGTTTAATTGAGGCATTGAAAACTTTGAAAAGAACATCTTTTAGTTGCTCAAAGCAATCAATAATCACGTTTCCATTTATTTTGTCTGGCCCACGTGATTTTTTTAAAAAATAGATTTTAACCTCTTTTCAAGTTCTTCAATTGATAAATCAGAGGATAGCTCATCAGAGAATACGCACTTATCCAAGGGTAATAAGAAGTCACTAAATAATGTTCTGGTAATAGGGATCTTCTTTGATGGTTTAGGATTTATTTAAGTAAAAAATTTATTAAACTCATGTGATTTAGCGTTTTGTTCAAATTTAAAAAACTTATTTCAATTTGATTTTTAAAAGATTTTTGTTAACACTAAAACTAATTTAAATCAACACATTTAACTTTATAGGCAGTAGGGGAGACCGGAGTTAGTTGGCTGCAGGACTAAGTTTTATTTATAAAGGTCAAAATTTTTTATTTATATTTGTCACTTTCAATGACTAATTTACACGAACAATAATGGATACGTAATTGGAAACATGAGTTAATTTGAGTATACATTATGATTAGCTATTGCATTTTTAAAATTAAAATTATCATTAACTTAGAACATTAAGTGTTTTTTTTTAGTTTACATGTCTGCTTCAGGGTGCGCCTATTTTCAGCATTGCCTCGGACGAGGAAATCCTAGATACGCTACTGCACAGTGGAAACATTCAGTGGGAATTTTGTGCCATTATCAATATTTTTTTGACGGATTCCCGTTTTAGTTTAGATACGGTTTTAGTTTTTATAACATAAAAAAAAATAAAAAATTTTATATCGAAAATTTAAAAAATATTATGTTCATAGGCCAAGTGAATAAAAAAAAAGACATTGCCTTTACTCAGTAATTGGTCAGCTTTACGTGAATAAAACATCACGAAATTTGGTTAGATTTTTATTCTTGTTGTAAAGCTAAGCAATTATTTGGCGTTTTTGAAGTAAACAAGCTGTTTTACGTGACTTTACGTAAATAGAAAATTGAGCAAATTTGCTAAACCTTTTACTTACGTAAAGCTATGCAATTACTACAAAAATGCCGAGTTTAAGCAAATGTTTTTTTTAATTCACCCGGCCTCCAATGTAAGTGTATAAAACAATAAATGCTGCTCAAATTTTAAAGAAATTTTAGAAGTTCGTGCACAAAAGAATGAAACTGCAACTTAATGTTTTTTTTCGTAATTAAATTCATTCATTCTACTTAACTCTACTCTATCTGATCTTAAAAGGCTTATAACAACGTGTAACAATTACAATAACTTAAACGGCGTTAAACTCAATGGAAGGTTTGTTTTCCGGAAAGCGACTAGTAACTAATTGCAAGGTAACCCTGAAAACCATCAAATAGTACCAAATGAAAAACTTAATCATCTGGGCTACATGTGGAACGACAAATTGGACATCTTTTGTTTCCGTCATTTGCAAGGTTATCTGAACACTGAAGACACATACAAAAGTGTCTACACGGCAGAACAACAACTTCTAAAGGAAGTGCAAGACATATCTTGCACAATGTCTCCATAGGCATGGTCTCTTGTTGATGATCCTGAACATTCTCTTGTGGATTTTTGTCCTAAAATTAAATTTCAAAAATGAAATTAGATAAAAGCATTTTAAAGGTATCTTATAATATAAAAATTATACTAGAAATTTTATGTTTTTGTTCGAAAACATTAATTTACTGCAGTATAATAGTAATGTAGTACAATCGTAAATTTTAACTATTTTATTTACCTGCTCTTGTTCTGTATCTCCCACTGATGTGAGTTTGATGTCATTAAAGTAGAAAGCTGAAGCCTCAGGAAACTTTGTTGGAGTCCACTCTCCTGTGGAAAGTTTTTATTCATAACTTTGTAATTGTTCAAAAGATCGAACTCTCTCTCTCTCTTCTTTGTTCTCTTCGAGGTTGATGACCATTCTGCGATTGGTTGAGTTCTAGTTCTGCATTCAAAATTATTTAAAAAGTTCATTAGAAAAATCACAATAATAAATTTAATTCAAGCAAACAAAGATTGAAATTGTAAATGCAATAAAGATTACATATGTATCATCAAATAAATCACACTTTCAAGCCGTTTTAAAATATGAAAAAATGATTTGATTGTAAAATATTTCTTGGTACAAATTTAAGTAGTGCCAACAATGTTATCCAATTGTGAAATTATGATAGCTGATTTATATGATGATTCGTACCTATCAGAAGAGACTCTAATACCATAAGGGATTACAAAATAAATCAAGTTACTTTATTATGAGTTTAATCGACGGAATTTATCCTTTACAATATTCAGTTAAACATGACAATACCTGATGATATATATTGTCTAGAAACCTCCTGAAGCTAGGGTGAGCAGCCATGCATCTATTCATTTTTGAATGCAGTGATTCCGAGACATTGTTGGTTCTGAATTGAAGTCCGTGCATAGAAAAAAAAAGCTGGGATTTGTGTTGTCATCCAATACTTCTCAAAGTAATACACAAACTTTCTCATTTTTTCACGAGTTTCAATGTTCGCAAATCGACTCATCTCTGTTTTGAGTAAATCTACTTCTGCTCTGATGAGAACACAAGGCAAGAGGCACATGGACAACGAATTTCCGGCACCACCTTTTAATTGCAGGGTTGTTGATGTACTCAGATTGAAGACCAACAACTTTGATTTTTTTTAAAATTGCCTGGCCGTAATGAAACCAGCAACCAGTCAATCTTATTTCAGGGAAGACAACCTTCAAGGCACTGCCTATTGCTGCTTCATAGTCAGCCATAGAAATTCGTGGTTAAAAGTCACTTGAAAGTTCCTTAATTTTTCTAAATATAGCAATGTAAATAATTTCTTTTCTCCCAGTCATAAGTACATGAAACACTGAAAGGACAATGTCATAATGCATAATGGAGATATATAGTAGTTGACCTTCTTTGAAGATGCTAGGAACAACGCGAAATGTTGCATCAATTAAAACAATTGTAGATCCTGAAAAAAATGAATAAATTTGTAAAAGTATTGAAAAATATAACAAAAACAAAATATTATGTGCAAGCTAAGGTTAAAAGATGTTAAATAAATTTCTAAATTAATATTTGTAGTGCTGATGAACAAAATAGTATGGCCAACTGGTCTTCAAATCTGACGATTCCTTTCAGAATGTTGTTAAATAGATTTGGCTCAGATATTGCCAACACTGCTTCTTCTACGCTGTTGGATTTTGCACTGTACTGAGTTTTTCTTGCACCACATTTTATCTGTTCACATTTTAAGTTGAATAAATTTTTTTTAACATTTTCAGGACAGTCTCGAATGATTTCCATGTAAATCTGGCGTAATGGAATTTGTGTTGTTGCAGCTTTGAGTCTCATTCTTTCCATCGCTTCCAAATGGCTAAAATCTTCTGTTTTAGAATCGCAAGAGTGGCCTAGCATTGTCTTAAGTAAATCACTTTTTTATTTACGTATTTTTGCAGTTCTAACACTCAGTTGATAGTTTTTGCACTTTAAATAAATGTAGCCGTTGTGATTCTTGATTTTACATAGCAATTATTCCCAGTTATGTAGAGGAATGAATTTCTCCTTTCGCCTTTAACTTTTTGATACTCCATTATGTTTTTATTATTCAACCAACTACAAAATGTTTTTAAAAACAAATAATGTTATTTTCAATTTATTATGTAAGAATATATTCAAAACAGTAAGCGCATTAAACTTATATTACAAAAGCATTAAACTAAAAATATTTATAAACGCTAAAAAAATTCGGTGCTACAACTTTCGGTTGTAAACCATTTTAATCAAATTCGGTTCTAAAATCATTAATGACTTTTGATTAAAAATTCGATGGAAATTTTTTTGGTTCTAAAATCATTAATGACTTTCGATCGAAAATTCGATCGAAATTTTTTTGGTTCTAAAATCGTTTATGACTTTCGATCGAAAATTTGATTAAAATTTTTTCGGTTCTAATTTTTTTCGTGAATATTTTCGGTTGTGTAATAAATTTTTCATATTCGGTTCTAAATTGAAATTAGGGATTCGGTTGAATCATAGGATGCCCTCATTTCCAATTAACTCTAATTGATTCCATAGGTGATTGAAATCAAGCCTTGAATCAAGCCTTACACCTACAACTTAAATTTATTATATTATATATTAAACGACTAAATACTTTACCAACTTAAAATGCATCAAATTTTCATTTCTGGCAGTTATTCTGATACAGTGAAGCACTTAAATTTTGAGAAAAATATAAAATATAAATCCAGAATGATTTAACAACAATAGACAAAACAAACAATACCTTTAAAGCAATAACTTTAGGCCTTCACTTTTTATTTATTTGTTGGAAATTACCATTCTTATTTTTAATCCATACTATAGAGCATCACTTAATTCTATAGTGTCAACAATAACTTACTATATTTAGTCTTTTTACAATGTTGGACTGCTAGAAATAAAGTTTACGTTCAAAATCTTTTAGTGAACTGATTAAAATTTCTCTATAAACAATCAGAAACAATAAAGAAAAATAATAGCAGATGTATTTATTTTATATAGAGTTTTTACTATTCTGCATGACTATCCTGCATGAATATTATAAACAAATAAATTTAACAATGTATTCTAATTATACATGTAATTTCTGGGGTAGTTGCAATTTCTGGGGTAATCTTTATAAATTTGTTTATAAATTTATTTATTTAATGTTTACTTGTAGATAACCTAAATATTTTATTTATTAAGTTATTGTAATTAAATAATAATAAAAATGTATATTGTTATAAAAAGTTTTTAAAACGATGAGAAACTCATTGGTTTTATCATAAAGAAGCACTAGTGCTTAAATATTTTAAAATTTACTATTTTTAAGCACATATTTTAACATGTAAAATTTTTCCCTGGCTTTGAAATGATCCATTTTATATATAACATGTTATGTAAGTGCATAACATACTTATGTTATGCACTTACATAAACTTAAAATCACTCAAAATTGAACTTGAATGCACAAGTCTTGTGTCAAGAATCCTACTAAGCATAATCTCGTTCTAAGAACTCCAGGGACCAAATAAAGCTCATGTAATTTTAAAATTAAAAAGAACAGAACAGTTTATAGTAAAATGCCTGGTGAACTTTTTTCGCCTTGCAGGTGAAACTTCAGAACTTCTTTTCGGAGATAAATGTGTACATAAAAATAACTTTTAAAAATCTTCTTAAATAGCAGTTCAACATGTATTTTCAGTTATAAATACAACGGAAATTTCCGTATTTGAAAATTTAGCTACTAATACGGAAAATTTCCGTACATAATGGATGGATACATCCATACATGGACATACGGATACTTTCCGTTTAAATAACGAAATACATTTCCGTTTTTTAATTAGCTTTGTAATTACTATTTCTACTGTTATATAATTTTATAATTTTTTTTTTTAATTAATTACAATCATTTTTACAAACTAAGAATATGCAGCTTTGCTTGCCGTTTTAACGACGATATTCCATTTAAGTCTTTTAATTTTTGATTTTTCAAGTTTTTCCATATTTTGGGACATAATTGAAAATTCAGAACCCCGGGTTTTAGTTTTTTTAATATAATAATTTGGAAGCTATTTGATCATTGATTATAACTTTGAGAAAATGATGACGAAAATATGTCTAAAAAAGAATTTGGTAGCATACTATTTTTATATTTGAACATGAAAATAAGAATCTGATATAAATTAAGCTTTTCCAAGACTTTTTTAAGACTTTCATATTAGTCATCGCATTAGAAGGATTGCCCATTCTACCTAGACCATGAATTGCTTTACAAGCATGGTTTTGCAAGCCTTCTAGTTTGATTAATTTTGTTTTGTGTGTATTCGCCCACACTATATTAGCATATGTGAGATGACTGTGAATTAGACTAAAGTAAAGTTTTTTTCTTGAACAGAAATTCAGAAACGGGCAATATTTATATAAAATATTTATATAAAATTTGAACACCAAGAAACTTTACATATTTTTACTGTTTTATTGCAATATTGTTAATGAGCAACTCTGGAATTTTCAACGGTAGAGACATTGATTGACCTGTTTTATGAAATAAGATGTAGTTAGTTTTTCACAGTTTAAGGATAGTTTATTTGCTCTAAACCATAAATTAAAGTTTTCCAATTCAGTTTTCATTGTTCCAAATATTGATTTTAAATTACTATGATTATAAAATAAAATTGTGTCATCAGCATTTATTATTGAAGATACTATAGATGATGCTTTAGGCATATCATTGATGTAAGTTAAAAACAATAATGGTCCTAAGATTGAGCCTTGTGGGACCCCACACTCAATATCAAAAACACTTGACTCTTTGTTAATTACAAACTGCTTTCTGTTATTCAGATTTTTATCCATTTATACTTTAGTCCTTTGATACCATAATGTTTTAGTTTTAATAGTAAGATGTTGTGGTCAACTGTATTAAACGCCTGTGAAAGGTCTATAAATACTTCCAGTACATGATACCCTTTATCAAAAAATTGAAATATTTTTGTTAGTAAGTTCAATGATAGCATGCTCTGTTGAGCAACTTTTTTGAAAACAAAATTGATTTTCATATAAAAGTTTGCTTAACTTCTTAACTGTTTAAAAGGAAAATCGGACGGTAGTTAGACATCTTATTACAATCTTCATTTTTATAAACAGGATTGACTTTAGCAACTTTTAACATATCAGGAAAAGTACTGTGTTCAAAAGAAGATGATATTAGATAAAATAAGGGTTTTCTAATTAATCTACATTCAATGACGCGTATTGCTACATTGCCAGTAATGCTTATTTGGCATCACTATTTTTGAAGCTAGACTGGCATCAAGATTTACAAAGTGTTTGTTAAGTTCATGGTAAATATCTGATTTGTTTGTAATGCATTTATTATGCATTTTTTAAGGTATGCTAAAGGATTTCTTTTTTTCTCTACCAGTTACTTCGTTTATGATCAACTATGTTTTTTTTTAAGCCTAATTTATTTTCATTTAGCAGATTTGAATAACACATTATTTTAGCTTGTCTAATATTTTTTTGAAAAAACTGTTTATAGGCTTTGTATGTTTTTTCATCACCTTCATCCTTTGATTTTTAAATAAAGTTTTTCTTTCTTTTAGACGATTTTATAAGATTACTCGTCATCCATGGATTTTTATATCTTTTTTTTTTACTTCAGATATTATTTTTGGACAGACAGTATCAAAAATGCATTTAATAGTAGCCGTAAAGTTATTAAATGCCTGATTTTGATCCTTAGCTGAGTATACATTTTTCCAGGACTCCTCAAATAGTTTATTTTTTAAATTATTGAGATTTTTTTTAGTAAAAAGACATTTTTTTTATTATCAATATTAGATAATAAAAAAAATTAAGTGTTTCTTAATGTTTATTTTATGCATTGGCGCGTTTTTGTTTGTTTTTTGAATAAAAATTTAATTATGTTAAAGTCAGTTTATTTTATTATAATTGATTAAAAAAATTAAATTGCTTTTAAAATATATGACTTAAGTTATAAACATTTTTTTGTTTGTGAGAGATTTAATATTAAAAATCTAACTTGATTTAAAGGTACGAATAGACTATAATAAGATATAGTCTATTCGCACGTGCGTGCGAATAGACTCCATTTTTTAAGTATAGGCATAATTTAGGCATATTTAAGTATAGGCATAATTTTTGACACTTGATTAATACGTAAATTTGTAACTTGGCTAAAATATAGTACCAGATTCCAGTTTGCTATCTTAAAATTAGGTTATATACTGATTTTGGTATTAATACCTGTAATTTAAAAATATGTCCATAATTGGGCATTTTATGCCCTTTTACAGCCCCAAAAAATCACTTAGCTAAAAAAAGAAGGAGTTCACCAGCTGTTTTTTATTTCTACATATAATAATGGTTTGAAAAAATCTTACATTACATGGTGCCAAGCAAAAATTTTAAAATGTACCTAATCCCGTGGTCTACTATTAATATGTCACAGTATCAAATGATAAAGATTTTCTTGACAGATCGCAAACGAGATGCAGTTTTAATTAGAATTAAATTAATTAGTCTATTCTAATATCGCAAAATCTTATTAAAGTCTATTCCAACGACATGTCGGATTAGACTCTAATTTGATTCTCCCAAGACAACATTTTCTCACCAAGCAAACAATGCAGTTCGTATTTTGAAGGCAATTCCACAATAACAAAAATTATAAGCATTGTCATAAAATATGAAATCTATTTTGCCCCGGAATAAATCTATATCTAAAGAATTAATAAAAAGTTAATAAAAAGTTACAAAAGTAAAAATATTCGCGGCTAATTTGACAGTTTAAATGGAAGCGGGGGTCCTTATTATCTGACTTTCATAGATGTCATTTGTTGAATAAAAATTGTTGAACAGGTTTAAATATTAAAGAAAAACAGCTTAGTAATAATCTAGATACAACAAACAGGCAAAAAAATTATTCCCAAGCATAAAAAACCTTACAACAAAGAAAACAAAACATCTTTTCAAATCATTTACAAACTTTTACAATTTGTAGCATCAAGTTATTTGAGTTTTAACAATATTTACACATTTTTAACAGCGATGCAGTTTGCATTGAATTGCAGTATACATTCACAGTCAATAAGATATGAAAAAATATATAATGAGTAAGCTTAAATGACATGTAAGCTTGAATAACATGTGTTAATAAATTATAAATTAAAAAAAAATCATTAAATTAGTGCTTTGCAAGAAAGATTAGAATATTTGATGCTGTTTTTTTTATTATGCATACAGATCATTTTTTAGAAATTAACTTTTAATTTTAACCACTAATAACAAAAAAAAACAAAAAAAAAATTGATGCAAAAAATTAGTTTATTTTATAAAATATTTTTAATTTTTTATTAAAAGATAATTTACTCAATGGCGTTAACAGACTTTCAACAACAACAAAAAAAATTAAATAAAAGGGATTAGGCTGAAATCGTAAACTTTCAAAAATACAAGCAATACAAAAATCTTATAACATAAATTAAAAAATATAAAATTTGTTTCACCGAATTTTTTTTTTTGTAAATGAATGTAAGTGAAGGAATTGATAAATTGGATTCCTAAGTCGCATAAAAAGTTAATTACCAATAACTTATTCTAGTGTTCCTATCATATAAAGCTGTTTTAACACTTTTGCTTGACTTGTCTCTCGTATTTCACCAGCCAAAAACATTTCGTCGACGACTGAGTAAACCTATAAATTGATAAAATAATTTTAAGCTTTTAATATTTTTTATTATAATAATACTAAATAATAATAAATATATAAACTGTGACAAAACCTTTTTAAATATTTCATTTAAGCTTAATTTAAATTTAATCTACAACGGAAAAATCCGTGAAGCTGAGAAAGCAACCAATATTTGCTATGGTAGATCCAGTATAGAGGATTACCAAACAAAAATAAAAAAGAGATAAAATAAGCAGCACATAGAGTTAATAACATTCCCAAGCGATAAACAGAAGTACCGATCACACAGTTTTTTTTGGAAGTAAGCCAAAAAATCTGTCAAGCTTTTTTTTGAAAGTGTTAATGTTGACAATATCTGGTACATTTCAATCGAAGGTAATGATATTATGTATAAAATCATTTTGGCGCCTTCGATTTTCAAGTGATTGGATACCATATGAGCAGCATTCCTTGGCTTTCACGGTTTGCAGATATGGGACAAGTTTTGTGGCTCGATTTTGAACAGCTTCAAGAACTTTTAAATTTTCAATTAAAAAGGGTTCCCATGCTGCTGAGCAATACTCCAAATGAGGCCTTACATAAGAGCAGTAAAGGACGCAGAACATTTCAAGAGTCCAATGTTTGAAAGTGCGTCTAAGAATTCCAAGAACAGTATATAAATTTGAAATAGCTTTTGCTACTTGATCGTTTCACAAAAACCGATTGTGAACAACAACACCAAGATCACGTTCAGAGTTGGTCTCTTTAAGATTGTGAGAAAAGCCAGTTTTGTCAGTCATTGTTAGTTGGAAGCACGGATCATTAAACTTATCATCAACAAAAGTTTTGCTTAATTGTTGTGTGCAACGATGCTTGTTGAAAATCATATAATTGCATTTTTCTAGATTAAAGCTCATTGACCAAGTATCAGTCCAGTCAACTACTCTATCGATGTCGTTTTGTAATCGCTGCAGGTCAGAGGGCTCTTTGAGGAATAGTAATGGTCCAATACATGAACCCTGAGGATGTTCAACTAGTCAGATTCTGAATTTTCTTTAATAACTCGTTGTTTTCGATCGGATAGGAGTGCATTTATCCACTGGCAGATATATTTGTCAAAACCATATGCACGAACTTTTTTAATAAGTAGCGAGTGACTAACTTTATCAAACGCTTTGGAAAAGTCAAGCAAAACTACAACCACGTCATAACGTGATTCCATAGCGTGGGTAATTAAATCAAATGATTTACCAGGTGTAAAACCATGTTGGTTTGCATCAAGGAGGTTTTTTGAAAGTAAATGTTCAATTATTGCATCTCTAACAAGTCGTTCCATCGTTTTGCATAGAACAGATGTAATTGAGATTGGGCAGTAGTTTTCAGGATTAGTTTTTTGACCTTTTTTATAGATAGGTGTAATATTAGCTAACTTTCAGCTATTTGGAACTGAACTTGAGCAAAAAGATTTGCAAAAAATGATTGAAATTAGAGTTGAAATTAAAGAGTACATTTCATTTAGCATATGGGGATGAAAATTATCTATCCCTGCAGGTTTAAATTTGTTAAGTGCTTTTAATTGATTTTCTATTGATGCTTTTGAAAAGATGTTTTCATTAATATTTGCGTAAATAGTGATGCGTGGCTCAAAAGATGGTACAACATTAATAAAATCTTTTGAAAACACAGAAAAAAAACTGCTTATTTAAAATATTTGACATTTCTACTCAATCCGTGGTTATATTTCCAGTATGGTCGACAAGAGCATGAAGGCGTTCTCTGATTGACTTTTGATTGTTAATATGCAAATAGGGTAGCTTGGGATATGACTTACATTTTGTAGCTAAATAATTTTCATATTCTTTAGAAGCGATTTAATTAGAAGTGATTTTACGCAACGAGAAGCTTTATTGAATGATTTAAGAAATGGTTTGACAGTTTGCGGAGCAGCACAGAGATGAGTAAATGCTGAAAATTTATCTTTTGTCACTTTCTTAATTTCACAGTTGAAATATATTAAATTGGATTTTTTTTTAAATAGTTGAATGCAGGCTTGGCCATTAAGGCGTGCAATTTCCGGTCATAATATGACCACGCAAATACAATTTGATTTTACTTAACTTGACCACGGTTGTTAATATGTTTTGAAAATTTGTATATGTTTTAAAAACGCGATAAAAAAATTATCTTATCTTATAAAATTATCTTACTATAAAAAAACTTTAAAAAAAAACTTGGTATACCAATAATCTTGGTAAAAAAGAAAAAAAAAAAAAAAAAGAAAATTAACTTAACTAAAACAGCAGAAATAAAATTAAAACTTAACTAAATTAAATAATAAACTATAACGATAAGATTAAATTATGTTTGGAATAAATAACTTTAAACCGTTTATCTTTACTAATGCTTTTTTTTTTTTTTTATTTGCATTCACTCCCAACAAGGCTGCAAGCAACCACTATTAAGTTGGAAGTTACTAGGAAAAAAAAAGAACAGAGTTATAGAGCAAGGAAACGGTTGACAGAAGACTTGAAAAGTTGAAGGTTATATGAGTCAGGAAAATATGATGGGAGAGAGTTCCAAAGGATTGAAGTGCGGGGAAAAAAACTAGATGAATAAAAGTTTTTAGAGCATGCAGGGACAGATACAGTAAACGAATGAGACTTAGCTGAATGACGAGTAAAACGAGAATGAATTTTAGTTGATGGCACTAGAGATAATAACTCCTTTGAGCAGTGACCATGATAGTATTTGTAGAAAAGAGAAAGAGATGCAACTTTACGACGATGGGAAAGAGGTTCAAGCTTAGCAGATAGTCCAGGTCCAACAACATTTACAATGCGTTTTTGGACCTTGTCAAGAAGAGAAAGTGAATCGTTAGAAGAACCAGCCCAAATATGACAACAGTATTCCATACAGGGACAAATAAGAGATTTGTAGAGGTAGAGAATGGAATCAGAAGTAAGAAAATGGCGAGCACGATAAAGAGAAGCAACCTTAGCAAAAGCTAATTTAGCAATCCATTGTATATATGGTTTCCATGAAAGGTCAGTAGTAAGCAATAATCCAAGAAGACGTAAAGAGGAGGACTCAGTAAGAGGATTGCCATTCATTAATATAGGAATGCTGACCATATTACGGTAGTTGTTTGCAGTAAACAACTGGGTTTTGTTAGAGTTGAAATTCACAAGCCACTGTGAACCCCAATCTATTACTGAAGTGAGATCGGATTCAAGATCAGCTGCTTGTTCTAGGCGATCGAAAAGAGAAGACTTTTTGTCAAGACAGGAGTATAAAGTTGAGTCATCAGCAAAAAGAGCTACTTTAGATGAAAGGTTGTCAGGAAGATTGTTAATGTAGATAAGAAACAAAACAGGGCCCAAGATGGAACCTTGGGGAACCCCAGAAGTTACTGGAAATAAAGAAGTGTTGGCCTTCAAGGATGACTTTAATAAACCGGTTAGAAAGAAATGATTTGATAATCTCAAAAACTTTCCCAGAAACACCATATGAAGCAAGCTTATGGAGAAGACCAGCATGCCAAACTTTGTCGAAAGCTTTAGATATGTCGAGAGCAATAGCCCTAGCCTCACCGCCTCCATCTAATGCACGATAAAATCTTTCAGCTTTTAATATAATTATTTTAATATAATATAATTCAGTTTTTAATATAATTATGCCAATTATGCGACACGCTTTTTAATAAAGTAAGGGGCCATCCATAAAGGACATCATCCAAATAGGGGGGAGGGGGTCAAGTTAAAAAGGACAAAAAATGACAAGGGGGGGGGGGGGAGATTGTCAAAAAAGGACGTCACTTTATAGATTTTTTATTTTAGTTTAATTAACATGGAAAACTATGTAAACATGTGTTTTTGAGAAGATAATGTATGAGAATATTTTTAATTTTATATTTCAAAGGTGTAGCAGCAGATTTAAACATCATTGCAAGATGAAATAAATTTTTTTGGAGTTAAAAATAGGGAGGGGGGTCAGGATTTTATGACATCCTTTTCCAGGGGGTATAGGGAAAAAGGACAACCGGTGACAAAGGAGGAGGGGAAGGGGGTCAAAAATTGGCTAAAAAATGGTGACACCCTTTATGGATGGCCCCTAACAACTAACAACTGACGGTTGTTTAATAAACGCGCACATTTAAAAGTTTAAAAAAAGATTCTTAATTCTTCGCACTAAAGAAAAAATAATTAAATCATTTATTTAAAATTTTGATTTAATTTTTTTTTATTTAAAAACATTTTTAATAAAAAATAAATACTTTTAAAAATATATATATGTTTTTTTATAAAAAAATCATTAGCAGTGACTTGTTACTTTATTTAAATTCAATAAAATAAAAACGTAAGTAAAGATCGAAGTTAGTTAATTCAAACGGCTTTTTTTTTCTTCTCAAAAAAAACTTCAATGATTCTTGTATAGAGTTTATTAGAGACCTTTGCTTATTTAAGTCTAAATTAAAAAAAAAAAAAAAAATTTTTAAACTTTTACTTTTTTTAATTTTACTTTTAAAAAAATCTTATATAATTAAATAATATAAATAAAGAAATATACAACTTTCAATGATAATTAAAATCTTTATTTAAAAGCGTTTTGCTAATATAAAAACGATAGTAAAGATAAACGCGTCAAATTTATTCATTTTCAACGTAATTAAAAAACCATTTTTTTAACGCATTTGTTAAAAGCCGTGGTTAAATCATCATAGCAAAATATTATTTTCATGGTCATATAAAAACTTGAAATCGCACGCCTTCCTGGCCAAGCCTGGTTGAACGGTAAACAGGCACAAATTCCATAACTATATGGTAATGATATTGCAATATTTGGTAGCACTCTTCAACGCTTTTATCGTTAAAAAGCATTTTCCAATTTTGTCTGAGAAAGTAGGAGTTTATGCCAGTGAAATTAGCTTTGTTTTAATCCGTTCTAACCGTAGTTCTGGTCTTCTCTGCGTTGTCGGCAAGTATTAGATCCCATGTTATTGTCAGGTGAAGTTTACCTTTTAAAGT